CAGAGCAATACCTAATTCAGTGGACTTGCAGTTATTATCATTTAACTAGTTAATTTTTTCAACATTATTGTTGTTTAAATGTTCTTCTTTTGTGGTTCAGATCGATGGGCGTTATTCAACAAACAAGCCCTGTCAGTACTATAGAATTTATTTCAGTTACACCTGAAACCAGAAACTGAATTCAATCTATAACTGCTGAAAAAGTACCACCTCAACTCTGTGTTTGAATACACATGAGTAGCCATAGGTGTGTGTAAGATCATTGTATTTGACTGCTGGTTGTATAATCACTTTCATATTTTATGCATTGTCTGTTGTATAATTACGTACATATTATATAATTAGGCTATACGCTAATTGTTGCTCTTTGATACGAATATAATATAATATCAATGACTGATGTTATTTTTTTCAGGTCCAAGATCGGTTTCTTAAGAAATCCACTTGACAGCGTAGATCGTTGATACACCACAAATTCAGTTCAGAGATTCAACTACTAGGCTTTCACATTTTTGGTGAATTAGCGCAATCTACAGGTCAAAGGATGGTATCGCTATGTAGGAAGGTTTGGGTTGTGTTGCGTAGAACACCTAGGCCTACATTGCACAGTACGATTCTTTTAATGTAGTAAGCATACAGTCAGGGTGCGAAATACACAGGGGGCTGGGTGGTCAAGTGATTGGCTGTCAAGTGATTATTTGAAAAAAATCTCATTAATTACTTAATGTACCAATTAAGAGAGATTAATTAATTAACATTCACATCGTGTGTCGATTAAAGATAAAGTTATTATTAAAGATAATAGTTATCATGGTGTTCATTTAGAAAAAAAAACACTGAATAGACATTACAGAAAAGTAGCTGAAATATAAGTAGCTTTAGATAGAAATATTTTAATTAAAAATACAAAAATACAAATAAATAGTGAAATATATATTTTTTTTTTATAAAAAACTCTATATACAACCAAAAGCGCCAGTAGGTGGTGGCAAATACCTGTCTTAAGTCAGTGAGTCATTCAATCATTCATTCAATCGATTCGTTCAAACAGCTGATTCATTCAGAAACGAAGCAAGTTGCCACCTTTATGAATGGTTCACTGAATCATTGATTCTCTCGATTCGTTTAAAAACGTGGATTCATTAATGAAACACCGCGGTGTGTTGATCAAAGACGCACAACAGTTCTCCTAGGGCTTTATTTTTTTTAAGTGAAATTACTGACAATGTGTCTAAAATGTAATTATTCACACCTTTACCTTATCTTCATTTTTTAGTAAAAACTGTTATGTAACCTATTTTTGTATTTCTACCAGCCAATGATGATTCTGAAAGAAAATACTCACTGAATCATTGATTCTCTCGATTCGTTTAAAAACGTGGATTCATTAATGAAACACCGCGGTGTGTTGATCAAAGACGCACAACAGTTCTCCTAGGGCTTTATTTTTTTTAAGTGAAATTACTGACAATGTGTCTAAAATGTAATTATTCACACCTTTACCTTATCTTCATTTTTTAGTAAAAACTGTTATGTAACCTATTTTTGTATTTCTACCAGCCAATGATGATTCTGAAAGAAAATACGCAGTGTTTGTTATAGTAACACATGCAGCTTTCACGCGCATCTGATGGACAGAACCGCACGCTTATTTCAGCCAGCGGTGCTGTAAATGTTATAGTTATTTTAGCAAATAGTTTGCTCCATAAATTCAGTTCAACAGCATTAAGTTGAAGAGGGTAAACTTTATCACTCGACTGAATCTACACATGCATTTTAGGTGTTCTTGCTCCGTCCAAGCAGTAAATGCACGTCTTTGAATGAGCCTATTCTTCAACCGCTCAGGTACTGTCAATACGACCCATTTCAGGGGCTGCCAAATGATATTGTAAAATCAGCCAGGTCTATAGAAATGCATATTAATATTTACAAGTAAATCTCCATATTATCCCCCCCCCCCCCCCCCCCCCTCTAGTTTTGACGATACAAATGTCTGGCAATCTGATCAAATATTATCTGCCACTATTCAACGCTTAAGATTGATTAAAACTTGTTTTATAAAAAACAATAATACTACAAATAAAAAAATATATATTTTATATTAAGTGGTTACCTCTTCATTTGTGCATATGGGAATACAAAAAAATTGTATTGTACAAAAAGATTGTTCAGTGGCGCCATCTACTGACCAATAAATGACATTACTTCTTGTGGGAAAAGAAGCACAAGTACCAGTAATAGGTGCGGTTATATTTGTTTGAATAATTAGGCCTATTTCTGTTACATTTTCAAATATGGCCACAACACACTTGTTTTTCAAAGTGTTGCTTAGAAAGGCACTGCTGCTGTACACGTGTGAGTCATAGACTACATAGAACTATAGCAGACACTAGTAACAAACCTTTTGATAGTTGTCCAAAAGAATAAAACTAAAGAAAGATTTTACAGTAGCGTAAATAGTAGTACTGAGGGACAGTAGCTGAATAGTCAAGGTCAAGGTCACATTTATTTATAGAGCACGTTTCTAATAGGCCTACAGCTAGTGTATCCCAAAGTTCTGTACAAGAAAAGTAACAACAACAAAATAACTTTAACTTTGTTTAGATGGTTTTTTTATTATTATTATTTATTTATTTCCTTTTCTTAACTTCTGTTAACTTTAAGGTCCAGTCATAATATTTCGATTTGAATACAGTTCATATAATGTGTTGTTTGCAAAATAGGGCATGTCACTATAAAAATTGTTTACATTTAGTGCGCAACCTTACATACAAAATTATGTTTTAAAGAAATGGTGTCCCTTTAATTAAAAACCATTGTTGTGCTCTGAAAGTGTAAAACAATTGAGCACAGTAGGCTACAATCAAGCTTAAACGGCCCACTTTACCTGAATTCAACCTACATAAAATATAACAAAGCTAGAATATAACCAGTATTTAGTATCTCCTCTTGAATCAGACGTTAAGGTGATAAAATAACTACATATTTATACAACTAACCGACATTGTACGCTAATGTTACAGATCGGTTATCCGAGCTTCACTGAAACTAACCAAATCCTCTATTTACATTATCGCCCATTCGATGTATTTATTGCGTCTGTGTTTACCTGTCAGTCATGTAATGCATGATGCTGGCGATCTTTTTCCGAAAGAGAGTGAAAAAAGACAGACGCCAAACTTGCTAATTCGTATAGGCACTGCCATCACCGACCCGATGTACTTCTAGCTATGATCCAGTAGGCCTATGCGTGAATTTTACACATAATGCTTTATTCAGATTTACCTTAGAGTAGCCTATGGATTTTGAAAATCAGCTGAAAACTTTTTATGTCATAATTGTCCTTTTAGCAGGGGCGGGACCTAAGCTTGGCCACCCCACTCAAAACTGCAGTTTTGTCCCTTTGTTTGACAAGAAATGCATTTATTAAGACGCGGAACCGCTGTAGCCTATCTCTTTATGACCACATTAGACGAGAGACTTTTCAGACGCGTACTTCATCTTCGCCTCAGCGCCAGGCGCAAATCAAACGAGCGCGGAAATTAAGGAACATGTGTCAAATGAGCTTCAGTAGAACAACAGTGAACTGCGGTCTGATGAGGTGTTGTAGGCTGTATGTCAGTAAAACAAACTTTCCTCTCCTGACAGCTGTTTTACCGTGCTCATGGGGCACACTTTTCAACTTTACGCGATTATAAGGCGCACGCTCTCGCTTCATCACAAATAATGCCTGCAATAATCTATGAGCATACAATGTAGTTCTGTCGTCAGTTAAATCATGAAATTACCAAAAAGGTGATTAGTGCATTCATTTATGTATAGCATCACATTAAAGAACGTCTCTCAAATGCATGTACTAAAATATTGTACAATTCGAGATCACAATATACAATATAGGCCTACACAATAAGAAGCGAGCTGTGTTTTTTTTTTTTTTGTAATTTAATGCACAAGTAAATATGAACACAGTGTACTTATACTATATTTTAATTTTGTAAAGTACAAACGAAAATGAAACCATTTAAATGCATAAAATAACTCATTTTACAATCTGGCGTTTTTGTGCTGTTGACTTCCGTCCCTTTTTAAAAAAAATTTTAATTAACCAATTCTTATCACTATCTGCATGTCTCATCAATGAGTATGCGATGGAGAACAAGCTTTTGGGGGGTTTGAGAACCAGAACCAAGCTGACTAAGCAATAAACCTATAGTGAGCTCCTTTATTAAAATACCTGGAGGTGAGGAATGATACACAAATTGTCATATTCACTCAGCATTACTTGATCTAATTCACAAATATCTCAAATACAATTTAGTAGAAATTAATTGTATTCAGTTGTGTTTTAGGCACTAAAACAGTCCAATACTTTATAGTCAATCACATTTTTATATTGAAATAATGAAGATTTCTGTGCCACCCCAGACTGGTTGCTGGCCCCTGGCCACCCAAAACATCCTGGCTCCACCAATGCCTTTTAGTGTTTCTTTCGCGAATTCGTTCGCAAAGAGCTATAATAATAATAGCCTAATAATAATAATAATAAGAAGAAGAAACGAATCATTTTCGAATGTGGAGATTAGGCTACTGCGGACCATGAAATAACGTTATTGAAACGCTTAATTTATTTTGGCTGTTATTTGTTGCCACACCTTGATCAGTTGATCAGAATGGAAGAAAATGTATAGCCTAAATTTCTCAATTTAGGATGATGATTCATTTACTCACACATAACCTGCACAAATGGTCGCTGATCGAATTATACTAATCTGATTCAAACGATTCGATTCACTTGGATGAGTCAGTAACCCTAACACTAATGAAGTAGAGTCTATAGCTGTGTTTCATAACCTAGAGAACTGCATCTTGAATTTATGGAAATCATGGGTGCGCGCAGTCGCTGAGTTCGAGCGCGCCTATACAAAAGCGCTCGGTAGGTGTCTCACTAGTTTAGACATGCACAGCCAGAGCATCTGTTCGTGAGAGAGCGTAAGGTTTGACTGTGTAGGCTACTACCAGAGAGCAGTAGGTTCTTCAACGTGCCTCGACGTCGTAATAAACTTTTACTAAAGTAATTCGCGTGGTTCTGCAGTGATCGTTCAGAAGTTTCGCCATGGCCAAAAAGAGTTTTTCCACCAAAAAATCTTTGAGGAGTTTGTTTTCTAAAAGTGAAGCAAATCTCAAAGAGTCCGTGGAGAAAGATGACCGCGGCAAAGGAACGCTCAAATTATTTAAATGGAAGACAAAGAAATCGGACAGTTTACAGGAGAGCCTAAAGGCTGCAAGGTAAAACCATTTCATTCTGTTTGCCGTTATACCTAATACTGAATGATCTATGCTTATTTTTTGGTCATGTAGCCTAAATGTCAGACAGTCTAAAACCAATATCTGTCATATAAGGTTAAACAATATAGAATGTACAAACCACAAGCTAAATTAAATGAACTGTTCCACCTGAGGGTTAGTCCATGGCTGTAATATGTCCCAGACGTAGGCCTAGATATAGGCTAAAGGAAATAAGACCATGTACCAGGCACTTGTCGCTTTGCTTGAAAGTAAAGTAAAATAAAATAAAATAAAATAAAATATCACGAGAGCAATGTATGTTTGTTACTGTTATATTACTTTTTTATCTGGAGCCTATTTATCTTAATGTTCTTGAGTTAATGAGTACAACGTGTTGTCTGACAGTCACACTACATTTCTAATCCAGTAGGCTACTGTACAAGACTGAGCATTGGTAAGAATTATTAAAATTAAAATGTTAATAAATCAAATGCAACCTGTTATGTTTTATAGGTATTTAAAAACTAGCTATATTCTGTAGTCAAAGTAGCCTACAGGTTCCTCTAATTTGATTGCCCATGTAGCTTTCAGAAAATAAGATAAAGAAAATTGATTATATTTTGTTCTATTCTGTTCTGCTGTAATTTGTATGTTTAGTATTTATTTGTATATATTGTAATATTATAGTAATAGTAATAGTAATTTGTATACTATTGTATTATTTGTACAGTATATATAATATTTATAGTAGGCCTAGTAGTACTAGGCTAGGCTATTTTATAATATATTAGGGCCTGAATGATTCTGTTAAAGTTTTGGCACCTTTAATTATTATATAATATATTATTTTAAAGAGGTCATATGATGTTGCTAAAAAGAACATTATTTTGTGTATTTGGTGTAATGAAATGTGTTTATGCGGTTTAAGGTTCAAAAAACACATTATTTTCCACATACTGTACATTATTGTTTCTCCTCTATGCCCCGCCTTTCTGAAACGCGTCGATTTTTACAAAGCTCATCGGTCTGAAAAGCAAGGTGTGCTGTGATTGGCCAGCTATCCAGTGCGTTATGATTGGCTGAATACCTCAAGCGTGTGACGGAAATGTTACACCCCTCACCATACTGTGATGATGCTGTGATGGAGCGATGATTCAAAAACATGAAAACCCATTATAAACTAGGCATTTGTTGCATCCAGTGGGGACATAATTATGGATTATAATGACTTATACTGTCTTTTTACGCATTGCGTTGTATCGCGCTATGTAAACATAAAACCATGTCTGCATTTGTGATCAGCGAAATGACAAACAACAAGCCCTACTCTACACTGCCCAAAAAACTTTAAATATAAAAAATATAAAATATAAAAACTCTTTAAATATAAAAAACGTACTTACAGGTTGTGAGTCAGAACAGCTGGCATTGTAGTCTACTCTCCCAGGATCAGGAAACGGTCCTCCATAAAATGCGCTGCACACATCTGAATATTTGGGTTGAAGTGCTCTGGAACAGTGTTGTAAATACAACTTAACCACTGATTTCTAGTCGTGTCCATTTTTGCAAGGCCAAACAAAGTAGTTTCGCTATCACAACGAAACACAGCGTCGCACGCGGTGGCCTAGAGTGTGCGGCGGCGGCCTAGAGTGAGCAGAGGCCGAGGGCTAGAGTGAGGAACGGCTGGAGGGCTTGAGTGAGCAGAGGCGGCGGGCTTGAGAACGGCGCGGCCAGCGGATTCGACGAAGGAGCGTCCAGAGGGCTTGCGGCAACCACACGTGACGACCCCGGGCTGGACTCCGCTTCGTCCATGGTGAAAGCCGATCTGGCGATCCACAGCGCAAAATTTGTTTTATTTCCTCAGCAATCCTAATATCTTTTCAATGTTTAGGGGTAACGTACTCCCTCATGACTGGTGTCAGTGCTATAAAGTGAAGAACCAGCTTCAGCTTTTCCCCCTGTCATTTATCCCAGCGTTTACCCCTCAGTCACTAGCTCCGCCCTTGCGCCATAACTTGTGACCGAAAGAGTAGTGGAGTCCTATTGAGGGGGAGGGGAAGTTAAAAAATAATGAAGTGCACGGATAAATTATTTATAATAAACACTACAGTATTCCATTAAAAAATAAGAATTTTCAATTTTGATTTCATAGTGACTTTAATTGAAAAGATCGATTACATAAGTATCTGTAGGAAGCTCACACTGCATGGGTGATGATCACAAAGATAGATGCAGTAGAATAGAGCACCTGCACACAACACAGCAGGGTGTGGCACGACAACTCTTGATGGGCGAGTGCGGGTGCGGGCGGGAAGAGACTCGTGTGTGTGCGGGATGCGGGAGAATAAAATTATTTGCAGGACTCCCGCAAAATAGAAATTATCTAAACATAAAGTGTCTAAAACATATAAATTGTTATTTATCTGTTGCACAAAAGCAAAAAGAATAACTAATATTAACATTAAAATAATTGTGCAAGCTAGGCATTGTTTCTATTTATAACAGGTATTTATAGGGTTGCGCAATGTAGCCAATCACAGACTCAGCTGTTGATTTCTGGAACGCAATGGCCAATCAGAGGTGATTAAGTTAGAATCTACTCACCGCAGTGCTGAAATTGCGTGCCCACGAATCCTCTCATTTTAACACACGAAGTGTAGACATTGTGAAAGATTCATTGTGTATATATTTATTGTGTTATAACAGAGTTTTATGAGATCGCGATTAACTGAGATGTCAGTTTTTTTGTTATAATAAAGGAAGCGCTGCTCGCATACTGCCATGCCAAACCACGCACGCAGCAGCCCATGCTTCTTTCTGTTGACTTTAGTCTAGCTAGAGTTGAAGTACTCTCAAATAAATATTACTTGCATTCGTACGCACATCTGCACTTTGTTTATGATGAGAGATTACCCCACAGAGCAGAATTCCGTCAAGCACTGAACAAAACACCAGCGTTTCAGCGATGGCTCTGATTGGCCATTGCATTCATAAACTCAGCAGAATCGTGTGTGATTGGTTATAATGTGTAGCGCTGTAAAAATGCGTCTGGCTCAGCGCCAGCCAAAGCACGGATGCAGATTTGAATTTAGCAGTTAGTGATGTGCCACACTGAATCAAATATAACAAATATTATTTGGCTATTTTTTGTCTTTTGGAAGCTGCATTCTAAATACACTTGGCTCAAAAATCTGAGGGGGCACATGCCCCACACTTTGAATGGGCATGACGCTGCACCATACACGTAGTGCAGGATATAGGGGATATGGAACGATTCAGACAGCGTAAATATGCTTTCCATTGGAAAAGAGGTCTGGTTTGGCGTTGTGTCACGCGAACCGCCGCAGCGCGCACACAGTCTGCTCCGGTGTTGTGCCGAATTCTGCACCCCTGCCAGATTATGCACCCCCTCGTTGTAGTCGCTACCTGATTGCCTAATCCCAACCCCACCCCTAATCCTAACCCCTCCCCCACACCTACTCCGATTCCTACCTATACTAGGGGGTGCATAATCTGGCAGGGTGCAAATTTCGGCACTACACCTGTTCACAGTGCAGATCATATGCGTGAGTCTCGCAGACCACGAAACGGACGCATTTGAATTCGACACCGAATGCTATATTTTATAGCGATGTAGATGAGATTGGGAGGAGAAACGGTTAGACAAACAGCACTGACGAGTATAAGAGATAACACCAGTACCATGCACCAACATAAATGACACAATTTTCAAACTACACATCCTCAGCATCATTATAATCACTGCTTTGCTTTAGTAACAGTTTCATATTGAATCTAAAGGGGTAATCTATTAGACTGTGGCTGTCAAATGCGGCTTTACCGAGCTCAACAGCTCGGTTCATGATTATTTTACTGTAAGTAAAATGTTTAATAAGCTTCTTGAGTCACAAGATAAATGTCCTGTCCGTAATTATAAATCTTAAAATTAACTTTTTATCAAGTGGTTTTATAAGAAATGGCATACAGCAGTTGACCCGTATTGTTCCTAATAGGCCAACTAAGATGAGAAGACATTGAACTTCTGACAAAAAACATTAAGTGAATTCATTGTGATAAAAGCACATTCATGATCTTTACCAACATTATTTTCATTGTGGGGACAAATTTGGAAAAGTGAAGGAAAAAATGTAAGGGCTAGGTGACTGGGGATTATAAGGCTTAAAGGGAAGTCTCACAAGCTGCTACAAGCATCAACATTTAAAAAAACATTGGGGGCTTATTTGAGAGTCTTATTTGCGAGCTTAAATGGTACACATTTACCTTAAAAACACTGCAGACTTGTTATGCGGTGGACTTTGGTGTTAGTCTTGGCTCTGTCCACCCCTTTCTGTTTGAATATGCTCATCAGCTTCACCTATAGTCAGATGGTGAATGCGCTCAGAAAGAGGTCAGTAGTTGCAGTGTTGCTTTATGGTTCCTTTCAGTCATATAAGTGTAACTAGTCATATTCATATAATGTTTATAATTGTTCCATAATTTCAAGGATGGTAGCACGTTGGTGATTTATAGAATGCAGAGCTGACAAATCTACAAATTATGCAGCCAATGATAGTGATATTTGTTTGGGCTGTTAATGTAGGTTAATGGGTGAGTTGAGTTTAATCATGATTACTTTAGTACTTCCTACCCAAAAGGACCCAATATTGTGTGAAGAGCATGTTTGTTTGGATGTTTGGATTTGCACATTCACACAGCTTGACCCTCAGTTAAAACCCTCAACAACCAGCTTTTGTACTTGAATGTTGTAGGTTATTTGTATGGCCACAAAAGCTCCTCCCTCAGGTGAGCAACTTGCTGTAATCTTATAAAAATACCCTGACATGTGACTGTTCTTCAGAACCTGTCTGTTGTAACAGACAGGATCTGTCCCCTGTGTTTGCTTGGTACAATACGTTGTGATGCCTTATTCAAACACTGTTCGCCATGTGTCTCCATTCCCAAATAAACTGACTCAAAGGCAAACAAACTGTGTACTCACAGTGAGGTCTGTGACAGGAGTAATTTAAAATCCTCAATCCTGTTGCTTGTGTAGACAGACTTAACGTTGTTTATAATTGTCTTGGATAGGATAGTAACATTGTGTAGTCTGTACTATATGGGTCAACAGAAAGATCTCACAAAGTGTTTGTAAGTTGAGAATCCAACTGCAGATATCGCTTGCAACCAGAGTGAAACACTTCTGAGTGGCCTATGAGAAGATTTGCACTTTGCTGGAAGTCTTTGTCATAACACACAATTTTGTTTGACAATATTAGAGTGTTTTTTTATTTATTTATAAGTCTGTGTGTGTGTGTGTGTCCCCGTTCTGATTTCTTATTTTTTTTGCATGTTTGTCACACTTTAATGTTTCAGATCATCAAACAAATTTAAATATTACACAAAGATAATGCAAGTAAATACAAAATGCAGTTTTTAAATGATAATTTCATTTATTAAGGGGAAAAAGCTGTCCAAACCTACGTGGCCCTACGTGAAAAATCAATTGCCCCCTCCTGTTAAATCATGAAAGAACTGCAATTAACCACGTTATTTTAGAAAGATGAGTTAAATTTCACTAGCCACACTCAGGCCTGATTACTGCCAGACCTGTTGAATCAAGAAATCACTTAAATAGAACCTGTCTGACAAAGTGAAGCATGCTTAAAGAGCAAGACATCATGCCGCGATCTAAAGAAATTCAAGAACAGATGAGAATCAAAACAGTT